CTTTCTGAGTACCATTACATGATGCTGTTTGGTAGAAGGGACTTTTAGGGGGGATAGGAAGAAATAACTAGAGACAGTGGCACAAATAACCTGGTTCTGTGCTATGAGTAGCTTAATAAATGATAACCAGAATCTTGAATAGCATAGCATGATCAACAATACTGCAAGCTACCAAGAGAACAAGGAGGACCAGAATGCATTTATCACCACATTAAGTGAAACCTGGCTCAATAGCAGTAACCTTGAGGGGGATTTTGGAGTCCTAGTACAATCAAAATATGAGCTATAAGTGTGCAGCAACAGCCAAAAAAGCCAATGCAATTCTAGGTTGTATTAACAGGGGCATTGAATCAAGATCACGTAAAGTATTTGTATGGCTTTATAAAGTCTTAGTAAGACCAAACTTAGAATACTGCATCTAGTTTTTGTCACCGTATTATAAAAAAGGTGTTGAGATTCTGGAAAGAGTGCAGAAAAGAGTAACAGAGATGATTAGGAACTGGAGGCTAAAAAATTAAGAACATTGCAGTAATTGGGTATGTCTAGTTTAGTGATAATAAAGACAAGCAGTGACATGATAGCAGAATTCCAATATTTTAGGGACTTGCCACAAAGAAGAGGGGATCAACCTACTTTCCCATGTACCTGAAGGCAGGACAAGAAGCAATGGATGGAAACTAATCAAGGAGAGTTCCAACCTACAACTAAGGAGAAATTTCCTAACAGTAGAACAACCAACCAGTGGAATGCCTTCAGAATTTGTGCGTGCTCCATTCTCTGGATGCTTTTAAGGAGACTGGCAGCCATTTTCCTAAAATGGTATACATCTCCTGCTTGAGCAGGGGATTAGACCAAGGTCTCTTCGATATTCTTATTTTTCTCTCCAGAGATGTTCAAGTGCAATTAATATCTCACTATGCCCAGGTCCTGAACCCCAATGAAAGGGGATTAGATAATCAGCTTCTTCCAGAGTTATTTGAAGCCCCAGCCTGACCACTTTTTCTACAACCTTTACCAAGAATGGAAGGGCAAGAATTCTCCAATAGCACTTGATCCAGTTACAGTTTCCTGAGGCCAGGATGAACTATCTCCTTAACTGTTGGTGGCACGAACAACTCATTCAAGAATGAAATCACCAATACATGGATATAACTATATGTTTCATGGGAGGCCTTACCATTCAGGAAGGACATGGATGTAAAATGTTGGTGGCCACCCTCACAGATTTGTGCGTGTTATTCACTTCTTTGCAACTAAAAACTTAATAGAATAAAATAATTCCCCCACAAGGAATTTGTCTCTGGTGTATGAGCTCTCAGAATACATACAAACAACAAAGTGACAAATCATAAAATAAAACAATAGTGATAAGACACTAGAGATCAATAGGAGATGTTAATAGGAAAGATGACAATGATAATAACAATATAGTCCTATTAGAGTAAATATCCTTAAGGTATAAGACAGGGAATTAGGTGTTTAGCAGAGAGATGGCATGAGGGAAAAGCTGTCTTTGAGTCTAGTTTTGGCATGTAATGCCTTACATCTTGACTGGAGGAGTTGAAACAGTTTATGTCCAAGGATGTGAAGGTCTGTTGATATTTTCTCTGCCCTTTCTGGCTTGTGCTGTATATAGGTCCTCAATGGAAATCAGGCTAGTTGTAATTGGTTTTTCTACAGTCCTAATAATCCATCGAAGTTTGTACCTGTACTGTTTGATTGTTGTGCCAATTATAATAGTACAAATGACAGAGTCAATAATTCCTCTGTAGAACTGTATCAGGAGCTCCTTAGGCCGCCTAAGCTTTCTGAGTTGACGCAGGAAGAACATTCTTCGTTGTGCCTTTTTAATAATTCTAGTGTAAGGTGTCCATCTCAAATCCTTATTATAGAACCCAGATTATAGAACCCAATATAAAATCACTTCTGGTGATTATAGAGAATGAGGTGCAAGGTCTATTTCACAGACAAAAGCCAGAAAAAGCACCAGACAAGATAACTCCTTCTTGCTTAAAAGCTTGTGCTGACCAACTGGCCCCCATCTTCTCCCACATCTTTAATACCTAGAGATGTGCTATGTTCCTTCTTGCTTCAAATGCTCTACTATCATACCAGTGCCGAAGAAACCTAATCATCAAGGAACTGAATGATTTCAGACCAGTTGCTCTAACATCTGTAGTTATGAAGACCTGTGAAAGGCTAGTGCTGGCCCACCTGAAAATCATCAAAGATCCGCTGTTAATACAGCTTGTAATTTGCCTACTGAGCAAATAGATGTTAATATAACTCTGCACTATATCTTACAACATCTTGAATCTCCAAAAGACCTATGAAAGGGTCCTCTTTGTAGACTTCAGCTCAGCGTTCAATAGCATCATTACAGATATTCTTCTAACTAAACCAAACCAGTTAGCGTTACCCTGAACACACTTGTAAATGGATCATAAGCTTCCTAACAGGTGAAGCTAGGCAAAACCACATCAGATACCTGTACAATTAGCACAGGAGCCTCCCAGGGCTGTATGCTCTCTCCACTTCTCTCTCTATACCAATGACTGCATCTCAAAAGATCCCTCTGTTAAAGCACTGAAGTTTGCAGATGGTACAACAGTGATTGGTCTCATTCGAGACAACAATGAATCTGCATACAGACAGGAGGTTGTGGTGCAACCAGAACAATCTTGAACTAAATACACTTAAACCTTAGAAATGGTGGTAAATTTTAGGAGAAACCTTCCTATACTACCACCTCTTACAATACTAGACAACACAGTATCAACAGTAGAGACTTTCAAGTTTCTAGGTTGTATCATATCTCAAGACCTAAAATAGACACCTAACATAAAAACATCATTAAAAAAGCACAACAAAGAATGTTCTTTCTGCGCCAACTGAGAAAGCTCAAACTGCCCAAAGAGCTACTGATTCAGTTCTACAGAGAATTATTGAGCTTGTCATCTGCACCTCTATAACTGTCTGGTTTGGCTTTGCAACCAAACAAGGCAGACACAGACTTCAATGGATAATTAGAACTGCAGAAAAAACCATTGCTACCAACCACTGAGGACCTGTATACTCATGAGTCAAAAAGAGGGCTCACATCCTGGACATAAATTGTTTCAACTTCTACCCTCAAAACGACGCTATAGAGCACTGCACACCAGAACAACTAGACACAAGGACAGTTTTTTTTCCCCAAATACCATCACTCTGCTAAACAACTAATTCCCACAACACTGTCAAAGTATTTACTAAGACTATTACTAGTATTCTTCTCATCCTTCCTAGTACCTACCTCTTCTCACTTATGGCTATAACAGTGTTGGTTGTATCTTTACGATTTGTACTGTTTAGTTTCCTAGTATGATTTGATTGCTTATTAATAACCTATGACTATCACTGAGTGTTGCATGTTATGATTTTTGATGAATGTATTTTATTTTTTCTTTATGTACACTGAGAGCATATGCACCAAAGACAAATTCCTTGTGTGTCCAATCACACTTGGCCAATAAAGAATTCTACTCTATTCTATTCAATAACTTGAAGATCTCAACTGTTGATACTGTGTTGTCTAATATTGTAAGAGATTATAAAATACGAGGACTCCTCCTAAAATCTACTATCATCTCTGCAGTTTTATGTGTGTTCAGCTCCAGATTATTCCACTGGATCAAAGGGGCAGTTATTCAGCCTCCTGTCTGTATGCAGATTCATCACTAACTCGAATAAGACCAATGACTGTTGTATCATCTGCAAACTTCAGTATTTTAACAGTACTCTTAGAAACTTAAAATTGGGATAGCTTGAATACTTGAGATAGCTAACAACTGCTTCTACCTCTGCCATTGTTAACAGAACCAGAGCATCACAATTAATTTCTGTAAGCCAGAACATATAAATAGGGCGTACATACTACTGATACAAAATAACTCAAGATAACAAACAAACAATACCTCATGAAAAAGAGAAAATGTTCAGCATAATTAATGAAGTTGACATACAGAAAGATGCAGGGCCTGGGATTTATGTACTAGGCATCTTGGAACAGTCACAATTACTGGCATATTTTCTACATACACTGCTATTCTATTCTATTTGCCATAAATATATATAAAATAAAAACAAACATCAAAAACCCAGAATGTCCTATTGCTTTAGGGGCAACATACAAATCTGTCTGTCCTAGCAAAACCGTTAACAGATGCTCAAAATGCAGTTGTAATTGGACGCTGGGTCAGACTGTTTTACAGGGTCTCCTTCAGAACCCACTGGAAGCAAAACAACCCTCATTTTTGCGATTGAGTTTTCCACGCACAGCTACCTGTAGTCAAAGAAACAAGCTCCGTTGGAGTCCCTAAGCAGCTTTGCCACAAGAATTCACTACACGAAGTAGCAGAAGGCCGGGGAAGAAACAAGGAAGTGAAGAAAGACTAAGGAGAGCGTCCATCAGACGCTTCACAGAACCCACCAGCCACGGTGCCTCACTACCTTGCCTTCCTTCCATCCCTCTCCAGTCCAAGAGACCCACCTAGATCCTTGTCGTTGATACCCAGGTGGTTGTCGAGCTCAGTGCAAACTTTGGAAACGAGCGACAGATACTCGAGCGTTGCGAGCTCCTCCGTAGGATCCGCCATGGCGCCCCTCAATATCCACCCCGTCCGGCCGATCCCCAGCAACAAAACACTTCCGGGTTCCTTTCCTTACACGCGCTCCATCGAGAAGGCTTAGAAAGGAAGGCGAGTTTTATTTCTACGGCGTCCCCCGAAGATCATTTGGAAGAAACCTTTGAGGAGGCTTTCCAGTTATCTCCGCCAAGATGAAGTTATGGCGAAATCCCGAGTTTAAATGGAGACACAAACCCGCAGTCATTAGCATATGGACAAAAGGCAGATGCAGGAGACCATAGAGAGAGTTAATTAGAGACCAACGAAACTACTTCTCCCAGAATCCCTTCCGGTCCAAGCTCCTTCTTCCCGGAAGTTGCTCACTGAACTTGATTGGCCGCTCTGGAGATGATCCGTGGGCATGTGCCAAAGGTAGGGGAAAAGATGGCGGAGCCGTCGGGTGTCTCTTCGGAAGCTCCTTGGGGAGGAAAAGTGAGCGATGCGAGTAGAAAAAGCGATGGACAGAATCAGCTGTCAGAGTAGACAGTCCTTTTTAGGAGAGGTTTTAGTTGTTTGTTGGGATCCAGTATGACAAAGTAATAGTCTAGTAAATCTCTCTGAACGTAGGAAGATTGCTTTTTCTTACCGTATTGACTTAACCGTAGAAAGTTGTCTGTGTTGAGGACCTTTTCGTTGCTTCTAACAGGGATGGTAGAGATGTTTAGGTTGGGTTCCTGCAATATGCTAGGCTGAAGGTAGCCGATAGTTTAGTTCAGTGAGCAAATGTAGCTGGTGTGATTGCGCGCTGATTTGCAAACTCTCAAATGGATTAATTGGGTACACGGTGGTTTAATAAGCCATGGAGTAATAAGTTGTGTAAACATAGCTGCTGACTTCTCAGGAATATTTCACGCCGAGATTAGTTGAATTCGGTTTGTTGCATATATAGCATAATAAAATGGACACTTTAAGATTCTAAAGAGATTCCTCCTGGAATTAGTAAGACTGTTGCTCCTTTGATAGCAGTTGTTTTATTCTATTATGATAATTAGGGGGCTATTTTTGGTGAGTTAGTAAATTTGCTGCTGCTTATCTCATTGCAAATTATCCTACAAAAAAACAAATGAAGAGAGACAACATTAAGTTTCCACCTTAAAATTATAGGTAGCAAATATAGCATGATTGGCATGCTCAAAACTATCTTTATTGAAAAATAACTTTTTCTGAGACTTTGCACTTTATTAAGCATTATTGTCACTATCCTGCTCAATAGAACGGAAGAGTGACCAACTTTCTAATTTATATTACTATATTTTCTTTGAGGCAAAGTATTGTTTCCCTCATATGCAGAGTTTGAACTTTATAACTTTTAATGTTGCAACATGTCATTGCTTCCTGTCTTGTTTCTCGATTGCAACAAATTGTGCAAGGGTAAGACTGAAGCATGGGTTATATATCCTTGCAAGTGGTTCAACTCTTGCTCAGAAAGAGGCCAAAAACTGAGGATACAAATTGGACTGTTTCTATATGTGTTTATAGGCAGCACTTACTTATTTTACATATTTTATGTGAGTTAACAAATCCATTGAAGATACCTCTTCATAACCTTTAAGAGATAAAGCTATAGACCTTTAAGAGATGCTTAGGGAAATGTATTTAATACAACTCACAATCTGAGTAATCAAAGTTGAACATGTTAAAATGATCTCTTATATTTTCTCTTTGTGACATAATTCAACAGGTTGATATTTCTTATGACAATGGGTTGGATTCTGGTAAGTTTTAATCCCTTTATCATTCTCTTTCCCTGGTGCAATTCTTCTATGAAGAATTCATATTAGGCAGTTCATAAATTTTAGTTTAGTAGTTAGGCATTATTTATAAGTTAAATAGTTGCACATACGTGCTAGTTGTTTCTGGCTCTAGGGGGTGGTGCTCATCTCCATTACAAAGCTGAAGAGCCAGTGCTGTCCAAAGACATCTCAGTGGTCATGTGGCCGTCATGACTAAATGCTGAAGGCAAATGGAATGCTGTTACCTTCCCACCAAAGTGGTCCCTATTTTTGTACTTGCATTTTTACATGTTTTCGAACTGCTAGGCTGGCAGAAGCTGAGACAAGTAACGGGAACTCACTGTTACGCGGTGCTAGAGATTCGAAATGCTGACCTTTCTGATCAACAAGCTCAGCATCTTAGCCACTGAGCCATCGTATCCCTTAGGCATTATTTATAGTTGCTGCCATTTCTTATTTTCACAAAGTTTGTTCATATGAGCAGAATTCAAGAAGCATATAGTCTTTGCTTCATATTGTGCTTTGATTGAATTCCTAATAAAATAGTGAGTGAATAGGAGGGGAAAGTGTTCTTGCCTTGATGAGAACCAATTGCAGTAGGGGGAAAGGAAGAAAGGAGAGATAAACTAATTTTGCAATGATAATGCCTTTTACTGCAGTGCATAGAGTACTTGCTAACTAAAGTACTTGCTGACTTGTATTGCATAATTGCAATCAATTAGAATTTTGGCTTAAAATAGAAGGATTATCAATATTTTAAAAATATAATTTATTGAACAGCAAATGGTATCTAAAGTATTATAAATTAGTTTGAGTATGAATGCTTTTGTGTTTCTCTTCTAGCACTCTTTGTGGAAAACAGAAAAAAAGTGATGATTGTATCAAGAGCTAATAGTATTGGTTCTACCAGTGCCTCTTCAGTACCAAATACAGGTATGAATTGCTTCCTTTCCTCTCAGTAAAACTCATTTTCTACTCTTAAGTACATAGTGAAATGTACCTTTGTCTTATATTCTTGATTAAATGGGTGTAAATAGATGATCCAAAATGATAAAAGCTACCCACTACTTCAATACCTTCATTATTAGTTCTTGGTCTTATTGTTGTATTGCTCTTAGTCTGGTCCTTATATTTAATCTTAGTCCTATTTTTCACTATGCTCCTTGACTTTCATTGCTAGAGTTTGCATATTATTTTACTTTCAGCTGTCAGAGTACAGTCATCAGCATAGTGTAAGTTATTGATGTGTCTTCCTCCAGTTTTAAAACCATGCTCTTCCTCTTCCATCCAGTTTCCTTCAAAATATATTTCACAGGTAGGTGGAATAAATAAGCAGAGAGTATACAACCCTGCCTCACTTCTTTGCCACCTTATAGCCAGTATGTTTTGCCATGTTCTGTCTGAAAATTGATTTCCTGACTTGTGTATAGGTTCCACATAAAATAGTGAGATGGTTTTGGATTTTTTTTTTCTAAGCACATTTTGTAGCTTGAAATGATCAAATAATCAACTATAACCAGTGAAGCACATGCAGACTCTTATTAGTTATTCTTTGGCTTTCTATTATTTCGTGTACACCAACGATGTTTTTCTTTCTCCGCCTTTTCTGAAGTGACCTTGAACATCTAGCATCTCCCTTCCATGCTGTAATCTGCATTGGATGATTCTAAATATTATTTTACTACCATGCAAAATTGAGGATAATAAAATGATTTGCATATTCTATTAAGTAACCTTTCTTTGGTATTAGCATTTAGGTAGATTTCTTCCAATCTACGCACTGATCTCTGGATTTACTAATTAAACTTGGTTAGAACCTTGATCTTCTTCTATTGCTTGCCATATTTCTTGAGATATCCCATCAATTCCTATAGCCTTCTGACTTGGTAATGATAGAGTGTTGATCTAATTTCCTCTTCTATTACTAAAGGTTCTTGTAAGCAGGAAATATATTCTAATCAGGTGACAATACCAAATCTAATTTTTATTTGGGCAACACAAACCCAAAATATTGGAAATTAACGTAAGCCAATGTAACCTTGCTTTGTGAAAATTGCTAACTGTAGATTTAGAAAACACAGTTCTTAATTATTATACTAACACTAATTCTAAATAGTTCCTGCCACTATAAAGTCTGTGTAGGAGAAAACTAAGCCTATTTCATCTACAATTACTTTCAACAGATGTATCTCGTGAATTTCTAACTGATATTAACCTAATTTATAGCTATGGTAATAATTGTGCAGACAGGATACTGAATAATTGAGCAATTCATCCACAATCGCATAACCCTCTGATTGATTTCTTTCTATTGCTTCTTGAATTATAGAATACTTTTGTCTACCCAGTGTATTCTTTTATTTTTAAACATATTCATATTTATTGTTCCCCATCACCTTTGTCACAGCTTAATTTTTTTAAAGACAGAATGGGGTCAAAAAAACAAGCTTATTTTCAAATAATCTATTGAGTACCCCCATCCTGGCATCATAAAAGAAAATTGGGGACAAGTGGAGAATGGAATAGCTCTTCCAACTGTATTAATCATTGAAAGAGGGTCTAGGGCAGACATGCCAAATTCAGGGTCTGCGGGCCAGATCTGGCCCACGATGTGGTTAGATGTAGCCTGCCTGCCTGCCCTGGAGATGGTGAAGGGTTGGGCCCTACAACTTTGGCCCCAGCCCGGCCGGGCATTTCCCCTGGGCACGCGCACAGCAGGCAGCAAGCATGCAGGGGCTGGTGTCCCAGGTGAAAGGGAAGTGCTTGGGGGCTGCAGGGCCAATGGAGATACCAGGCCAACGAGCAGGCCATGGAGGGGCAGAGGCACTGGTGGCAGGTGCAGTGCTGCTGCTGAAGCTCTACTATGCATTGATCAACAACTTCATGGTGGCCACCTGGTGCTGGTACACACATAGTAAAGTTCCAACAGCAGTGCTGCCAAAGTCCTATAATTTAGAATGTATTGTGTGTGTGCGCGCATGCATGAACTTGGCTGCCAAAAATTTGGGGAGGCGAGCATGTAGGGCATTGAATTGTCTCCAGATCGAGTGAGTTGGTACAACTTGTTCCGTTCTGAGCCAGTTGTGCCCAGTGAGTGGCATCGAGCCATCCATGTCCACCTAGTCACGGCAACCCGGCTGTGACCACCTAGCCACACCTGGTTGCTGTGAGTCATCATAGTCTTACATGCAACTGTCCCTTTAAGAGCCACCATAATGCTGATGTGGCCCTCAATGAAATTGAGTTTGACACTCCTGGTCTAGGGGATCTTTCCTGTTTTCCACTTTTGTTACTTTTGAAGGATTATTTAATATATTTAATATCTGAAAATGACAGATACATTTTATTATGTTTCAATGTCTTTTTCTGTTTTAGATAGGTTGCATACCACTTTATTCATTAGTTCAGGTACACATTATCTTCTCTGATTTTTCACGTGCTTCTCCAAAAATCTTAGTCATTTTGAATTGTTTCTTTTATATTAACTGCAATTGATTTATGGGCTCCTTTCAGGATTCCAATGGACATAACATTGCTGATTCCTGCCTTATTTAGCTTCAGTTACATAGAATTCTTTATTAATCTGTTTGAGTCTTCGTTAAGTATCCCAAAAGTTTATTATCTTTATTACATTTCACTTAAACGTATTGCAATAAGGGAAGTAAGCAAATTTTCAAACTGAAACTGAAGGAATTATTTTCTTAAGGATCTATGCTGAAATGGAAGTGCCTTTTAGGGACTATTTTCTTAAGCTATAAAACTAAGGTCAAATTACTCCTTTTTCCATTTGGAAAATAAATCTGAGGCTAAGCAATGCTGTTAATGGTTCTTAAGCAGTCTGATCTTCTTTCAGTAAATTGAAACGTTGTGATTAGGAAATTATTGGTAGCATTCACAATGACTTCCCTTCCTTGCTTTGCCAACAAAGACTGTTTTCATGCCACAGATGATGAAGACTCTGATTACCAACAAGATACCTACAAAGAATCATACAAGGATCGCCGTCGCCGTGCTCATACACAAGCTGAGCAAAAGCGGAGGGATGCTATCAAGGTGAGAACATGACAAACCATATATGTATGCTTGCTATTTGTAGCATCTCAAATTCCTTACAAGTTTACAAAGCTTCCAATTTGGGAGAAAGGAATAGATTTACTGACCAAATTCTACTTTTGTATTCAATTTTCTTGTCATGTGTGGCAGATTTGATATGTGAGTTGTAATGCTTTTCTGTTTTTCTAACAGAAAGGTTATGATGATTTGCAAGCAATTGTACCCACATGCCAGCAGCAAGATTTCTCAATAGGCTCCCAGAAGCTAAGCAAGGCGATTGTACTCCAGAAGAGTGAGTAGGGCTCCCAAGATTATCTGTCTTCCTTGGCCCATCTCCAAGACCCATTATAAGATTCCCAGAAATTTGTACAAATTTCAGAGTATGCTTTATATAACTCTTATTAAATTCTGTAAATAGATTAATTGTACTACTGTATTTTAACAAACAGAACAAAATAGAATAATCACTTTTCTGATTAACATGTTTATTAAAAGGTGTACATTTTCATGAGCTCTGTTAGCCCACTTTGTGGGAGATATACATAGTGGCTAGATTGTTGCAGATATAGGGCAGGGGGAGGCTATGCAGATTATGAGAGAGCTTTGGAAATGTGTCCAGTTTTCACACTATTCTACTATTAAGCTAGCTGCTGCTTAATTCCAGTTTTTGTCAGTTTAGCCACTCGGCATTTGCTAGTGACCTGCAACTGATGAAGGCTTATGCCTTTTAACTAAAATTTACATTTTTTTAAAAAAAAGCCCTTAGTTATAAAAAGTATAACTATTCACTTAGTTTTTTGCCATCATACACTAACATGGTTCTCCTACAACTTGTTAGTATTTGTGAATCTATTTAACTCTGTCTTCATTCTTGGGAATGGAATGACAACTTTAATGTAACTGAGCTTAGAAATATCTGAACAACTAGATATTGTCTGCTAGACTTTGAAAAGATTTAAATGGCTCCTTTCTAAATTGTTGCTTTCTCTGTTACCCAGCCATTGATTATATTCAATTCTTGCATAAAGAAAAAAAGAAGCAAGAGGAAGAGGTCTCCACTCTCCGAAAAGATGTGCTGGCCTTGAAAATCATGAAAGTGTAAGACTTGTGCATTTGTAAATTCATGTTTCACTAGTTGACCTCCCCAAAATAAAGTGTGGTATTAGACTAAGAGCAGGGAGACCTATGATTTAAACTATGTTCAGTCATGGAAGGTCACAGGCTGGCTTTCTTAGTTCAATCAGGGCTGTGATTTTCAGGAAAAAATAGTAAATGTTACATATGTTTCCTTGAATATTTATTCCTACAGGGAAGAGACATATACTTTTAGTTCAATAGTAAATTCTATTTTGTCTGAGAAACATTTACTCTGTAACATGATTATCATTTATTGTTACAACTCTTCCATCCTGTCCTTAAGAAATGTTTATTCTGCAAAATGATTATTATTCCAGATCTGATTATTCCACATGTTTTCTGCTAACTAACTACATATATGCATTTCAGAAACTATGAAGAGATTGTTAAAGCTCACCAGGACAATCCCAGTGAAGGAAAGAATCAGATCTCTGACCAAGTGAAGTTCAATGTTTTCCAGGGTATCATGGACTCCTTGTTCCAGTCCTTTAATGCCTCCATCTCTGTAACAAGCTTTCAGGAGCTCTCAGCTTGTGTTTTCAGCTGGATAGAAGAGCATTGTAAGCCACAGGTAATTCCGGAACATAAGAACATATGGCCCATATCACATATAGGAAAAATATACTTGATTTACTTGTGGAAGATTTCCTGGATTTAGAGGTAATTATATAAAAAAATCATAAGGTGGATATCCATTGCTGTCTTTAAATAACATTAATCAGCTTCTCTGGCTGGCTCTTGTGCTGAATAAATAGCCTAACAGTGGCAGAGATGGTCATGTCTTTCACACAAAAGTACTCTTGGCATTGCTTAGGAAGAGGAAAATAAAGCACTTGAATGGAAGCTTTTTTTTCCCCCATGATCTTGCTGCAATGCAGGGGATAAAAAGTTTTATTCCAGTGCTAAAAGGTTGAGAAACTGCCATAGTCAGACTTCAAAACTAGAACTTATAGTGGACTATAGAAGGAACAGATCAGACATCCAGCCCTTGCTTACCAATGGAGACCAAGTGGAGCAAGTGGCCACTTTTAAGTTTCTGAGTGTCACCATAAAAGAAGACCTGACCTGGGGTGTTCTGGTCAAAAGGGCCCAGCAGAGATTATACTACCCGAGACTTCTCAGAAAACAACAACTGAATGAAAAACTGCTGGTGACTTCCTACTGCTGCACCATAGAGAGCATTTTAACTTACTGTACCTCTGTATGGTTTGCCAATTTGCACAGTGGCAGATAGGAAAGCACTCCAGAGGGTTAATGTCATTGCCCAGAAGATCATTGGTTGCCCTCTCCCCTCTCTGGAAGAACTTTATAGCTCCCACTGCCTTAGGAAAGTTCAAAACATTCTCAAAGATCCATCTCATCCTGGGCATCCTTTTTTTGAACTATTACCATCTGGCAGACAGTACAGGATAATATAAACAAGGACAAATAGGTTGAAAAGCAATTTCTAGGCTAGGGCAGTAACTCTTTTGAATTCTACTGTATAGTGCAGTTAGGGGTTTTCAGTTCAATGTGTGGAGTGTGAAGGATGTGTGTGTTTATTTTCATGGTCATGATGTGCACTGAAGATGGTGTTTGATTTCATTGTACGAGACGCAATGAAGTAAACTAAAGAACAGCAATTGTTGGCAATTTAATTCAGGCAGAATTCTATACCTACCATGTCTTCCAAAGGATAGATTATAACAGAAATAGTGTGCTATCAATTTACGTAGTCCTTTTTTCCACAGACCCTGCGAGACATTGTCATTGGTGTACTGCAACAACTGAAGAGCCAACTCTACTAATCAAAGAGAAAGCTTTGAAGGGCCTAATTTGCAGATATATGGCCAAGAAGCGTTATTCCTTCCAGTAATTCCATTTCAAGCTTTTTTTTTTAGGGCTACAGATTGATTTTACCTCTGGAATCCCCTCAGTTTACACAGCAAGCTCTTCAGATGAGGAGAAAAATAATCAGCTCTCAATTCATGTGGATTGCTTGCTGCCATCTCTTTGAAGCCTTGGCTCTACTGTTCCTATGCATTAATGTAGCTGATTTAATAGAAATGTATTTACAATATATCAGGATTTCGCAGTGAGCCAAATTCTTTTCTTAAATGTGCAGAAACACCGGAATGTCTCTTCGCCTCGGTTTGGTAAATACTTTTTCTAAATGCCTAGTTGTTATATCTAAGGTTTGGTTCAAGGAGCAGTAGCTAGTGTAATGATTATAAAAACAAAGCTATGTAGCATTTACCTTGGGTTAAGGGCAGAGAACTAGGGAAATTAAGCAATAAACTGCCTTCCTTTGTATAATACATTCTGATAGCCTTGTAGAGAGCTAGTAAGTTTCTTGTAACAACCTTCAGTTGTGTAGCCAACCTCCAGCTTTTGAAAATTAACCTATATGCAATCATCATTTGCCTTCCCTTCAATTCTATGGATTAAAAGTCTGAATAGGCTTATCAATTATGTTGTATTAGCAATAAAAGGGAAAATATCTTTTACTCTCTTGCAGCCTTGGTTTCTAATAATGCAATGAAGTGAATTAAGCCAACTCCCTTCTGCAGCTGCTTTTTTTGTTTATTTTATTTCTTTTGCTGCAAAAGTGGATCTGCTGCCTTTTACAGACACCACTTTCTGGATCTACTGCTGGCTGGTGGAGAAGGATATTAACTCAGACAAGACTTTGCTATTTTTTTATGATGACATGCAGTTCTAATAAATTTGCTATGTGGTTGAATGACTTTGTCAGTTTTGCCTGATTTTATCTGAAATAATATTTTAGAAGACTTTGAACCTAGGTATTTCGGTTGAAATTATTCTAGTTATTTCATGGTAATTATATAAAATGCTAATTTCCAAATTGGGGGCTATCCTATTGTTTTGGACTCTGAATCATATATAATGTTCCACTGACATCAGACATTTCCACAATATTGGCCTTTATTTGATGAAGGATCAGCAACTTGAAATTAAGCCAACTCCTTTCTGCAGGAGTTATCAAAATGAATGTATTATACATCTGGCTTTTTTTGTGCTATTGCAATTCTTTTGCTACTGAAAATTTGTATTTTACTCACAAACTTTGGTAATATGATCTTGTAATGCAATTGCCAGTCACATGCAACCATACAGAAGTAAGCCGATATTTGATCTAATCTAATAGGTTAAAGATCAAATAAATGCAACATCAGGTTTTCAATTCAATTGTATAGAATGTGAAGGATATGTGTTTGTGTTTTATTTTTATAGTTATAATGTACACTGAAGATGGCATTTAATTTCATTTACGAGGCGCAATGACAATAGAGTAAACTAAATAACTAAATAGCCACTTGTCCAAGTCAGGAAATTAATCTTTTAATATTGATTTTCCAAGGTACATTGTTTTTCTTCCATGTAACAAAGAAGTAGTAAACCCAGTTGTTCTACCCTCTCACAGTTGCCCAATTAGCTTGGAGAAAATGTATTAAATTTGTTTGCATCTCACAAGGTGACTCTCAGCATAAAGCAAAGCATGATGGCTAAATAACAATTGACATTAAACTTTCCCCAATTCTTGAATAATTAGCGGAATAATTAGCTCACTCTAAATAGTAGTTAATGGCATAATATGCTGTTAATACAACATGCAGGGCCAATTACAGAAAAAACAATACTATCAGAATTCAAGTATTTTGAGCCCCCTCTCTCATATTCTCAAATGCATATTAATTTTTTGTTCAAACTACTTTAAGAACAAAACAATCAGACAGATTAGGAAGTCCTATGGTGAATACTAGGAAAAACTAAACAGTGTAAAATGGGAGGTGTGCTTTTACCCAATGAATGCAAATATTTTTAAATTCTGAAAATCGGAGTAACAGAATATGAGAAACTGAAACTTGAATGCTTAGATTTCAATTACACAGATAAGATATTGGTTCACACAGAGGGTACTGTAACATTGAAATCTTCATCTGTCTCAATGCCAACTTCCTCCTGAATAAGAAACAACACATATTCTTTTAAGGTGTAATAAATGAAAAGAGCATTCTGCAGAGTATAACTAGCCCGATAATTGAACGATCTACAGTTGGAACTGACCACTGGCCTGCTTATATCCCTGTGGCTCTTAATATTAGTTTATATGTAATACTCACAAAGAACTGTTTCTTGCTTTTTGGGTAGCCTTCAAGGATTGCATCAAGTAATTCTGTTGCCTGTTGAGAAGGTTATGTCATACATTTAGTTGCTATCATTTCTACAAAGATTGGCAGATAGAAATAACCGGTTTGGTAATTATAGGAGAAAATATATGAATTTGTCTATAGCTAGTTGAAAACACAGCTGGTAAGCAATTGGAAAGTTATTCCATAAATCTTGAAAACAACATTTCTCAAAATAACATAGACAATAATGATAAAAATAAAATCCACTTTTCAAGATCTAAGTCATAACACTTTCTATCATTTTACTTAAATATGATTAAAACAGTAAATTAAGAAAAAAGACAGCAGGAATGTTCCTCTTAAGGAGATACAAAACTTCGTATTGAATTCTTGTTAAAAAGAAAAATGAAATATTTTGTTAAAAAACATACTGATTTACGAAAAATGAAGTATTTTTCACAATTATTTGTTATGCTACCTTTTCAATAATCCATTTCCCATATTTTTATTATAATTGATTCAAAAGATCAAGTGTTGGGTTTCCAAGAATCTAGTGGTCTAACAATTACATGATGAAAATGAAGGTGAAGTTTTTAGAGCACATAACTTTCCATATTGCTACGTTTTTCAACAGCTGAAGCTTCTACTTTTGAAGGGTAGCCCATGTAGAATGTATTACAGTAATCCATTTAGGAGAGCATGAGTGATTAAGATTATATCAGTTATTCTTTCTATTATCAAGAAATAGACCATGTCTCACAAAACATCCATGCCAAAAAAAACCCTAATTTACAATTAACTTGTACATATTTTAATCTTGTATTTTATGTTTTAAATTTTAAGCCATGTTTTATTTTAATTTTGATGCTTCTGACATGAATAAGCAAATTATTTTCAACACAAAAAGAGGAAGAATGCTCCATTAGTTTAACAGATAATAGGAATCCCTTCGTTCAATAACCAGATTAAATTATGCATGCAATTGAGTCTGCAGCTGTATATTGTAAGCCATCACTTGAATCTTTTACACTTGAAAAATAGTATATTTAGAATGTATTCTGTTGATTTCCTAGATACATACTCAATACAATTATATCATTTTTAAACTGTAAATAATTGTGTCTTACCATTCTCTTGCGACGACGCCATTCTCTGCAGTACAGTTTTTTCTCATTGTATACCTACAGTCAACAAAACCCAAACAATTATGTTTTCAGGTCCTATGAAACAGCTCAGACTGCAACCAGCTTTGATGTAGGAATGGAAGCTACACATCCAAAACTGAGTTGACAAACTACCTGCAAGAAAAGGGCCTTAAGAGTGTTCACGTTTATCCCCATTTCATGCCAATTAGAATTAGATTTTAATTAGACAATTAGATTTTCAATGATCTTGAGGTTGTGCAAACTCTCCAGATCCCATGAAGAATTGTTAGCAAAGATTTACAATGTTGCAAGTTTCTGTACAAGTCATTGGCTAATGACATGTGCCATAAACGAAACATGAGCATATAGAGTATGTAATTTTGTATTAGAGTACTATGTAATTTGATATAATCTTCCACATATTAAGCTTTATGTTACCCTATACTTAATATTTCTACTCTTCCCTTTAGATTTTTATATATACTTTCTATTTTATACCTTTTAGGTTTTCTTGTGTTTTAATCTGTTTTTACCTGACTGCATCTTAACCTTCTATATGCTGGTCTATGGCCATAATAAAGGTTTTATTATTAGCAAAGAATGATGTGTTTTGAAGTCCTGGGTCTCTTCTCTCTCTGATGCTTGACATAATTTCGGAATATTTGGCAATTCCACTGCCCTTATATATGGTTAGTATAGGATAGCAGGGCAACCAGAATGGGCAGTCTGAACCACCCCTTTCTCTGTCACTGGACCTTCCCTTTGTTACCTTTTCTTTCTCCTCAGGGGACACAGGATTGGCAGCAGATTTGATCCGTTCCAGTTTCTCTGTATAATTGGCACAATCTTTTTTTAAGTCTTCAATTTCTTTAACCATCTCTGGGGTTGTCATAGAGCCCTTCAGTTCTTTCAGCTCTGGAATGGAATTACTAGTTACAATAGCTGAAATGGCACTGATCAATGGGAAGCTTCCAGGCATTTAAGCTGCAGCTCGGATACAAACAGTTCCCAAAGGCTCCATGCCATTCAAGCACTCAATTGCACAAGTATTCACAGTCAACAAACTGATTTAACTTTCCTGAACAAACCTGATTCCATGTGACGACAGTTCTGTTGGAGTGTCTGAACTTTGCAAGATAGTTCTGAAATCTCATTGTCCAAGCCCTTCAGTTCTGATTCACTTGTATTACCAAAACGATTCTGGAAAAACATGTATAGGACAGAGCATTCATCTAAGATGACTAGCAGAAGTTTTATGTATATATTTTATGTATACTATAATGGAATAAACCACATTCCAAGCAATCAGGTTTTTGTGAAAACCAAGCCATCATATGTACTTGTACTATCCTTATAATATTTTCAGCCAATGCGCTTCTCTTCCAAAACAATCATTATAAATTTACAAAGAAATAATTTTCAGCTGAGAAACTATTTGCTTATTTAATAAAACTAAAGCAGCATCTCCATCAAGCTTGTATCTCTGGTGCTTAAAAATTTCAGGCAACTATAAAACTTCTGTCTTGTAATATTAAGTTTCAACTTAATTTATATAAGAAAATTTCACCATCTGCTCATCTAGTTCAGTATTTGTCAACTGCTGGTTAAATGGATTCATATGGGAAGCTCACATGCCTCTACTACAGAGTAATAACTTTCAATTTTAGTTTCCTGGTAACTAATATTTTTATTTATGCAATTGTTCTTTTGTTAGATTTCTATCCCATCTTCCCTCAGAAACTCAGAATGCATGAAAAATTATGGCACACCCTCTCTCGGTTCACCCCTGCAAAGAACAGCTCCATGAAATTGGTTGGCAGAGACAGTAACTGGCCCAAAGTCACTTGGAGAATAAGAAGAGATGTGAATGTGGGTTTCCTATGTCCCAGGCCAATACCTTCATGGCATGCATTCGGTCGTGCTTCAAAAGCTGTATAGATTAGGGGTCCCCAAACCACAGGCTATGGCCCACTACCAGGCTGTGGCCTATTTGCAACCTTGCCACAGGCTGGCAACATGTACACGCATGTGCAGCTTGACTCACGCAAGTGGTGGGCCAGTGCACACACACGTGCATATAACTCGTGTGTATGGCAGGCCAGCATGCAGGCATGTGCGTGCACAGCTCGACTTACAATCCAGCTACATACGCATATGTGCTCGTGCAGCCCAGTTCCCCTCCCCTTCCCCAGCCAAGTCACAAAAGTTGGTGACCTAGATCCATCTTATGTACCAGCTATTACACATCTTCCTGCTGGCTGTTCCTGCTGGTAATTCACATATCTAGCCAGAAGCCCAAACAAATATTTAATGTAGCTAGCCAATAAGACAAACTGAGATCAGAAGTTAATTCTAACTTGTAGAAGTTTTTAAGTTACTAAAAGACTCTGGGAAAGAGAAGTTGAAGATGTGTAACAGTTGGTATATAAGGTGGATCTAGATCTGATTGTCGTTATTGGTTTTAGAAAAGCCCATGGATGTTCGGCAGTCCTGAAACAGACTGAGTTAGGTTTCTTGCTGAGGCTTTATTTTTTGTTTCCCTCCCCTGAGCTGGTAGAAGTTAAATTTAAGTTTCACAGAATGGCATTTCACCTGATCTGGAAAATAAATCTTCTGCTTCCCATAAATCTTTTCATTGATCTTCCCTTGCTGAGCCAACTGCTCCAGTGCCTTCACTACAGCCTAAATCAAACAGAAAACAAGAAGATGCAGAATGAGAAAAATTCACAACAAAGTGGAGGACTGAAATGAAAACTGCAAATTGTTTGAACATTAAAGGAAGATGAAAATTTGACAGAAAATTCTTTGCTATGGGAGAACTGAGCACAATTGTTAAAAATGCACATTGGATTTCAATATTGAATGAAAAGGATGAACTTAAATCTATGCAAGCGTTG